CTGTGGAAACGAGCTGCGGCCGCAATCAAAGACCGGAAAAGCTTATTAGCCGTTGGATTCTCACGGCGAAGCATATACCGGAACGCGGATCTCGAAGCAGCTATCATCCACGCCACCTCCCACGACGATTCCTCCGTCGATTATACAAACGCTCACCGTGTCTACAAATGGATCCGTGCTTCTCCTCTCAACCTCAAAACTCTCGTCCACGCCCTCTCTTCCCGTGTCAACCACACCCGAAGCTGGATCGTCGCTCTCAAATCGCTAATGCTTCTCCACGGTGTTCTCTGCTGCAAAGTCCCTTCCGTCCTCGGAGAAATCCGCCGTCTTCCTTTCGATCTTTCCGATTTCTCCGATGGACATTCTTGTCTCAGCAAAACATGGGGATACAACATCTTCGTTCGATCTTACTTCGCTTTCCTTCATCACTACTCTTCCTTCTTGTCCGATCAGATTTACCGCAGAAGATCCTTTGAGAAAGCTGATTCGGTGATCCAAGAACTCGATAGGATTCAGAAACTTCAGTCTCTACTTGATATGCTTCTTCAGATCAGGCCGATTGCTGATAACATGAAGAAAACGCTGATTTTAGAAGCTATGGATTGTATCGTTATCGAGAGTATGAACATCTACGGTAGAATATGCAGCAGCATTATCAAAATCCTTCCGGTTGCTGGCAAAACAGAGGCTGCTACGACGCTGAAGACCATCCACAAGGCTACGTCTCAGGGGGAAGATCTCGCCATCTATTTCGACTTCTGCAAAGGATTTGGGGTATTGAATGCGCGAGATAGACCTCAATTCGTTAGCATACCCAAAGAGGAAGTAAAAGCAATCGAGAAATTGATCAAAGAAAAGCCAAAGAAAGAAGAAGAAGAAGTTGAGGAAAAGAAAATGATCGAAGAAAAGCCGAAGAAACAAGAAGTTGAGGAAAAGAAAGCCATTGTAGTGTTGGAGAAACCGAAATTGCAGACGATCATCACAGACAAATGGGAGATTTTCGAAGACGATTACTATTTCAACGAAAAGACGGTTAAAGACTATCAAAATCCTCGGCCTCTTATAGTAACAGACCAGCCAGTTTATATCGAGTATCCGATGCCAGATTTGATTACTTTCTAGTTACATTACAATCTGGTTGAGATTGATTTTGTTGTCTTCTGGTTCTGTACATAACATAATTTTACCAGTATCTGAGTAAATTCAAAAAAGAGGTACATTTTGAGATACATTCCGAGTTTGATTCTGAGTTCGTAACATAGGGATCAAACAAAACTAGATTCAAAATCTAAAATGTGGGACAAACCCGCGACAACAAAAAAAGGATGATAGGTTTTCGGTTTTTTCATCTGATGGTGACGAACTTATTGGTTCCATGTTTAGCCCAATGAGACTTCAAATCGATCGGATTTGAAAAATTGAAACCATTAGTAGAGAGCTTCTCAAGAACCTTCCTAAAGGCACCTTGACTCATTTTCCTACCAGAAATCCGAGCACCACGTCTTTTAGTGCTCATTGGCAAAGGGTACATCGAAACATTAGTGGTACAGCACGCGGACTGCCATCCTCCACAACCCCACCTGTAGCACGGTTGAGGAATCCCGGTACACGAGCAGACCGGAACTGGCAAACATCCAATATCCATACAAACCCCATTTATCACCATGTTTATACTCTTCCTCAAAGGACTCCTCTCTCTTTGCATTCTCGGAACATTGCTATCTTTCAGCTTCCTCTCTCTCTTCACCTTAGGAGCATCACTCTGCCCAACACTGCAATGCCTTCTATCGAGAGACTCGTCGACCTCGACCAACTCGGGCTTAGGAATCTGCAGAAGCTGCATTGGTTGAGTTCTTGAAGTCTCTGGAACAAGATAGGTCTGATGATTTGAAGGATTAGGTAAGGTGCTAAAGAACTTGCTGTCTCTGTGCTGGTTTAACCAGCTATAGCTCATGAATGGTGCTTCAGAAACCGCGAAATCGCGCGGGAACGACATGACATTGCTGCTGCTACTACCACGATAGCCATTGCTGAAGTTTGGATTCTGAGTTGGTATTAGTTGAAACCCTAAATTAGGTCTGAACTGAGACGGCTCGTAATATCCCCAGTTTCTATTGCTCAATCCATCTCCATCCATCATAATCAAAACTTCTGCAAACAAAACATAAAACAAAAAAAAATCATTCCTTTTCTTATATGGGTTCTCGAGTAACAGTCGAAATCGAAATTCCCCAGGGACAAAGAAGACAGCTTTTTGCGAAAATCAAATCCAAGTTCGCTGTTTTGTTATCTTTCTAAAATTGGGAATTTTCACTAAGCTAATTAAGTTGAAAAGACAATCAAATTGAAGGATTCGAATAGCAAAAGAAGAGAAATTTAAGTCAGATTCATCGATAAGTCTTTGGATTTATTAGGGTTTTTCGCATTCGAGCATAAGAAAGAATATGAACAAGGGATGTAATAAATACATGAGCATAGTAAGAGAGATATAACGTCGTCAATGGAGAAAAGAGAGTAGAAATACAAAAGTATTTTATGAAAATGGAGAGAGGAAAACTTACTGAGGATGGTGAAATGGATCTTTTTTTTGGTTTTTCTTTGCCCTTTTAGACAGAGAGGGGGGACGGTGGGGAGATGGTATAAAGGATTGAGAATGATACTATTTTAGAATTTTTTTTTCCTCTTAAAATACTTCTTTAATAAAATGATTAGAATAGTACCCGCGTTATACGCCGAGATAAAATATTTATCAAGTCAAAATTACTATAGCTTTAGTTAAATAATCATTTGTAGTTACTGGTAGATTTATTATACGTAATCTAAATT